GGAGATGACAACGTGGTTAAGGAATATGCTGAGTTATTTAATTGTGACATAGGGAGTTTCCCTATTAAGTACTTAGGGATGCCTGTGAGCTACACCAATCTCCGAAACTCTGACTGGGAATTCATTGTTGTCAAATATCTTAAAAGATTTGAGGCCTGGATTGGCAACGCCGCATCCATGGGCGGTAGACTCACTCTACTCGACTCGGTGCTTACTCAGCTATCCATCTTTCACATGTCTATGTGGCTCATGAATAAAACTTTCATTGAAAAGCTGGATAAGCATAGACGTAGATTTTTCTGGCAAGGGTGTAATAAAAAGCGTAGATATCATCTAGTCAGGTGGAATAGGATCTGTAGATCCAGAGACAAAGGGGGGCTGGGGGTTAAAGACCTCAGAAAGCAAAATATTAGTCTAATGGTCAAATGGTGGTGGAAGCTGGAGACCCAAAACGGGTTGTGGCAGGATATTGTGCGTGCTAGATATCTTAGAAACAAAACTGTTACGGAGGTGGGTGCGAGGTTTTCTGATTCACCATGCTGGAAAGCTCTTCTGAAGGTAAAGGAAGTTTACCTGGTGGGGAGGAAGATTAACATCGAATCTGGTAATATTGCCCGGGTGTGGATGGATCCTATCAAAGGGCTGCCCCCCTTTAGGGAGCAATTCCCACAACTCTTCTCTATTTGCACTACTCCTGAATGCACGGTGAGTAGGGTGCGGCTAGTGGATACTAACACTTTCTTCAGACGGGGGCTTAGTGCCGAACTGTCTGAGCAATGGAAGACGATCCAAGCTACGGTGGATGGCCTTACGCTAACCGCTACTAGCGATTGGGTGTCCTGGGGGCTCAACCAAAACGGTAAGTTCTCGACTAAGTCGATCTACAAGTGGCTGGAGAGATCGATTAGCGGATGCCACTATAGATGGATCTGGAGAGCCAAACTTCCCCTTAAAATAAAAATCTTCCTCTGGCAGATGTGGCAAGATGCTGTGCTGACTAGACAGGTTATGCGTGGTAGGAGATGGCCTGGTAATCCTTGTTGTTCCTTTTGTAACGAGATTGAGAGTTCGAGACATTTGTTTTTTACCTGCCCTGTGGCGAAATGTCTGTGGAGATCCGTTGGGATCGTGCTGGGTACTGATAGATGCCCCAGTAATTACTGGCAGTACTATGCGAGGTGCCATGCTTTTCTTCCTGGGGGGAGAAATTTTATACGGTGGGCCTGGCAGCTGCCTGCTGGGCTATCTGGCTGGCCCGAAATTGAGCCACCTTTGAGAAGAAAATGATCAAAACTCCTTTTGAGATAGTCTTTTCCATGTGCTCTTTCTTGCTCTATTGGACAGGTCTGCAGCAAGGAGAGGATGCTAAGAGGCTACGCACAGGCGCGGAGCAGATCAGGGCGGGGACCATGCAGATGATGAAGCTGTGCGAGGCGGCCAGGCAGCCGATCACCGGAGAGTGACCTTCTGGGCGATCCACGCCGAAGTCTGAAGCCTGCTGCTCCTCGTTGCTTCGAGTAGCATGATATTTTGGTCTGGTAGTGTCAATTTGGTCCCCAGCAGATCGGTTTTGTAATAACTAGTCAGACTTTATGAATATTGGTGCTGCTCAGGTTTTCGCCCCATAGCACTCGTCACAATGTCGGGCGAGTGTGGTGGGTTTCCTGGTAGTGCTTGAACTCGCTTTTCCCCTTTCCCTTCTTTCTGAACATGTTTCTGGGACTGATGTATTTCCGTTCTATGCAATGGAAAGGGGTCGAATAAAAAAAACATTTAGATGACTCATCATTGTATCTAGATACAAATGGTTCATGAAAATCACTACCGAGTTGTGAGCTGTGGAAAAATCAAATCAAACCCTTCTTTTCACAATCGGAAAAAAAAAGTTACTTTAGCTCTTTTTTTTATGCAGGCCACAAATCAACAAGAGAAACCAAAAGACATTGATCAGATTTTTTGTCGAAATGTATAAATAAATATTTTGGCAAAAATAAATATAAAAATAAATGAGCATGGTCACGATTAAGATAAGCAAACAAGTGTATGGTTGGTGAAGCAGTGCGACAAAATTCCTGATCAATGTCATCGTATTTATATGTGCGTTCACGATAAAGAAAACATTAATCACAAACCATGAAAGAAACTATAGTGTCCCTGCATACCTGAGGAGGACCTAACCAACAGGTTTCTGATATGTAATTATGCAAGTACTTGTCCAACAAATCGTTGAAATATATAAATAAATATTGTCACAAAAAGAAATACATAAATAAATAAACCTGGTTACGATTAAGATAGGCAAACTATGGTCTGGTGAAGCGGTGCGACTAAATTTCCCATCAACGTCATCATACCTTTATATGTGTGTGTTCATGATTTCAAAGAAAACATATATAAATCATAAACCATGAAAGAAACTATACTGCCCTTGCATACGTGAGGTGGACCTTGCTTGTGTAGTTGCGTACACCTGGCTAGTGGCATCGCACTGGAATTTGAAAACGACGAAGGAAAAAGGGTACCCTCTCAAAAAGGATTTCGGAAGCAAGAAAGTCTTTATCACCCCAACAAGAGGTAGGTCATTGGTTCAATCAACCTCCGTCACTGGATCTTAGTCTAGAAAGAAAAATATATGAGAACTACTACTAGCTAGCAAATTGAAAAAAAGTAATCTCAAGGGCACGAAAAATCCGTGGCACAAATACATATCAACGTCATCATCGGCCACCAAAAGGCAGCCATTAATTAGTGATCTAACCACGTACAAAAGGAGGGCGATGAGGTGGTGTTAGCTTAGTAGCCTCCTTCAATTTTCCCGCCTTTGCTTGACAGAACAGTTTACGGAGGGAGTAGGACTTCCCAACCGCACGAGAAAATTGGACAAACCAGACGTCTGGTTGAGCTACAAGGAGAAGAAGAAGCACCTAGAAAACGGAACCGGTTGAGCTAGCTAGTAGAGAGGAAACTAGTGACCATAGCATCTCACACACACATACATTAAGCACATCGTAATCGATACATACGTCTAGATCTTTAATTTTCTTCGACGAGCAATAGAAAACGACGAAGACTTATTAGACGAGTGCGTGCGGTGCCAGAGCACGGTCAAAATGTGGTGGTTCAGTTGGCCCTCTCCGAGGAACAATGGTTGACTACGCCACATGGGAGAGACGGAGAGAGCTACCGGAGAAGTTTCCAAGGGATCGGGTACTAGTCTAGCAGTAGTTTACGGTTTGGCAAAGCACATATCGTTGTATAAACCGTGCATCTATCCATGAACCTGCCTACCAGTACCAGATAGATGTACCCATGCATGTATCTAGGGTCTAGGATGGCAATAGGATTGCGCAGCCGGTGGAAGAAAAGGGAGGCATCAAATCGTTGCCGCCGGGGAGTCCCTGTCCGGCCACGGGGAAACGAATCGCTATTTTCACTTTCACCACGGGGAAAAGGGGGTCACCTTTCGCTTTCACGTACACGCACGAGAGCAGATGGGGAAAGGACGTATGCCTGTAGAAGAAGCTAGCCCTGTATACTTGCATGTACATATATTCGTTTTGCAGAATATATGGTGCAGCTTAATCAGCTCGTACTATACAGTTTGTTGATCATTGATAGTAGTACCTGGCTAGCCCAACCTAATAATCATCTTGCTAGCATTAGCAATCGATCTAGTGGTGGATGCATGTAGTGCTGTATTATCATCGCGAAACATGGTGCAACCGTCAGCTGACTACACGATTGACCAACCGATCGTGGAGAAACATGCTCGCCCCCGACAAAACATGCCCTGCCCCGGCGCCCGGCCGGAACAACAATCTCACGGCACACACAAAGCTTATAATTTGCCTATAGTTAAACGTACTTCAGCCAACCACTTATAACTACCGAGTATGTTTTTCCACGGGAGGTAGCAAGAGAGAGAGAGAGAAAAATACGAGTCTTTTTAGAGCATGGTTAATAGTATAGCCAGCTGCTGGCTATAAGCCAGTGTCATGTCATATACAGCTTATCTTATAGCCAACATGTACAATAATAGATTAAAAGATTGTACTATTTTTTTATTATGTGACCCATCTTTCATTCTCACAAAGTGCCTAGGAGCACGTGCTAGAGCTGACTCTTCACGAAGAGCCCGCTTACCTTCTCTTTCCTCCAACTAAGCAGAAATATACTAGTTTATTTCTTATAGCCCGCCGACTCGGCTCTATTGTACTTGCTCTTACCAGACCGGCCGCCTGACCTAGATAGCTTGCCTGCTAAGATTTCACGGCGAAATGAAAGCCTGTTACAGGCCACCGGCCGGCCAGTCGATCGACCGGCGACTTGGCCCGAAGGAACTACGCCGGTCGCACGCGTGTTTCGGCCATGTGTTGGTACCTGGCGGTACGTGCCCGGCTGGCCCCAACCGACTCACGTGTACGCGCGCTCTGAAAAGCCCCGGCCGCGCTACACGTATACGCGCGTCCCGGTCAAAATCTGCTCCGCTTGCGTGCGTCGTCGCTAACCCAAAACCCAACCCAACCATCTGTTTCAATCTCCCCTGCCTCACCAAACAAACGATACAAAACCCGAACGAGTCCACCCCCTCCAACTCCAAAACGCAGCTTCGCTCCCTCATATTTGCATCGTTTCTTTCCTGCCTGCCTGCTCCTCTCCTGCTATCTACTCCTATCTCTAGAGTTTTATATTCCCCCGGCGCGGCCCGGCCGCCGAACCGGTTCAACGCGGTGCGCGTGCGTGTGCTGGACCCGGACGCCGGCCGCGAATATAAGCGCGCCAGGCCACGGCCTCAGGTCGGAGGACACTGCCCCGCCCTGCTCGCCACACAGCACACAACGCACAACGGCGGGAGAGAGATAACACAAACACCTACGCTCGCACACAGGCAAAGCTAGCAGAGCCGGCAGAGGGCGGCGCAGCGGTGATCACAGGGCGCGCCCGGGGCACGCACAAGCGAGGAAGGCACACCAACAATCCGAGGAGCACCTTCTTGCGCAATGAGATCAGGGGGCGCCACCGCCGTAATCTTGTCTCGCCGTCTCGGGGCCGTGTCGCTGCTGGTGCTGCTTCTGATCGCGGCGGCGGCGGAGGGGAGCAAGAGCGGGAGCGGCGACGGCAAGGCGCACAACTACGAGGAGGCGCTGCGGAAGAGCCTGCTCTACTTCGAGGCGCAGCGGTCGGGGCGGCTGCCGCACGGGCAGCGGGTACCGTGGCGCGACCACTCGGGCCTCACCGACGGCCTGGAGCAGGGGGTGGACCTGGTGGGCGGCTACTACGACGCCGGCGACCACGTCAAGTTCGGCCTGCCCATGGCCTTCACCGTCACCATGCTGTCATGGAGCATGATCGAGTACGGCGACGACGTCGCGGCGGCCGGCGAGCTCGCGCACGCGCTCGAGGCCATCAAGTGGGGCACCGACTACTTCATCAAGGCGCACACACAGCCCGACGAGCTATGGGCCGAGGTACGTAGCACTCCACGAGCCGACCGACGACGGCGATCATGCGTCACCTCCATCCATCCCCTAGCTATAGCTAGCTCATAGCTGTGTTCAGATACGATCGATCATGACATGCATGAGATGAGACCGACCGGCTCCAAGCTAGCTGTTGCGCACGCAAGCCAGTGATCGTTCCAAGAAAGAAAGAGAGAGACCAATTCAATTCAATTATGCACACCTAGCTACCTTGTTGCACTTTGATCAATTATACGTACATCTTTTCTTTAGAAATATCGATTATATGTGGTATTTTCTGGTTAGGGGAGAAAAGAAAAAGGTTCTTTCTGGTGAATAACAACAAGCGTGTTAGGTAGGCGGCCAGTTTGATTTGATGAACGTACGTACCAACGAACGGCAGCACTAAACTATTTTCTTCCATCCACACATGGCGTGCATATGTTTCAAAACTTCGTCGGTCGTCGTCCATGATGCACCAGAGCCGTCGGATTAATCTCCTAGCTTTTTCTTGAACAGGTGGGAGACGGCGACACGGACCACTACTGCTGGCAGCGGCCGGAGGACATGACGACGTCGCGGCAGGCGTACAAGGTCGACCGCGACCACCCCGGCTCCGACGTCGCCGGCGAGACGGCGGCCGCCATGGCCGCCGCCTCCATGGTCTTCCGCAAGTCGAACCCGCACTACGCCCACCTCCTCCTGCACCACGCCCAGCAGGTACACACTCTAGATACAGACAGCGTACACGTTGACGTAGTGCATGCGAGGTCTGGCGTGGAAAAATGCAAGAAAAACATCGGTGCAAGTTTGGAGCACAGCGTAGTACCAGTCTGTCTGCGTACCGGATTTTGGAACATAGCGTACGAGTGTTGGTGGCGTTGGTCAAGGGGCGCCGGTCTTTTCATGGGTGGTGTGAGGTGTGTTCTTTTCTTGTGCCCTGTGCCGCACATGCCAAGTTGCCAACAGCTCGACGCCATCGACGTCGATCGATCGGGCGGGAAAATGGAGATTTTTCTCTTCTGTCGGCTCGGCTCGTTTCGTAGGGGCTGTCTGGCTGCCGTGTGGGGCCGGCGTGCAACCTCTATCTGGTGGACGGGGAACTTTCCATTTGCTGCCTCCGGGCATGATTAGGTGGCCAGTTCAATCCCATGTTGAACCAGCGGCTTAACTGGGAAATTATTAGGAAGCGGTCGGTCGTCGTGTCATCATGTGCTAATTGAACCGGTCCGTATTCACACCCACTGGCCTCGCTACCTACCTGCTGCTTTTCAAGTGTCAACTATAAAAATGCATCAATGAATGATAGATACATATGCAACCTTAATTATTCTTAGGGCTTTTTATTTTTTTATTTTTAAACTGATGATAGTGTATGCAATCTTACTGGTTGTTGGGTGTTCGTACGTGCACGTTGGCTGATGTTTGCTTTCGCTTTTGCGAACGTGCGTGCAGCTGTTCGAGTTCGCGGACGGGTACAGGGGCCAGTACGACAGCAGCATCGCGGAGGTGAAGAGCTACTACGCGTCGGTGAGCGGGTACAAGGACGAGCTGCTGTGGGCCGCCCTCTGGCTCCACCGCGCCACCGGCAAGGCCGCCTACCTCGACTACGTCGTCCACAACGCCCACGACTTCGGCGGCACCGGCTGGGCCATCACCGAGTTCAGCTGGGACGTCAAGTACGCCGGTGTCCAGATCCTCGCCGCAAGAGTAAGCCAGCATCTACTACGCACTATGGTTGGCACTGGCAGACAGTAGTCATCAGGTGAACGATCACTGACGAAAATGGTTCTCTTATTAATTTCAGCTGCTTCTGAGGGGAGAGCACACGGCGGAGCAGAAGAGGACGCTGGAGCGGTACCAGGCCAAGGCGGAGCACTACGTGTGCGCGTGCCTGGGCCGGAACGCGGCCGGCGGCGAGGACGCCAACGTGGAGCGGAGCCCGGGCGGGATGCTCTACATCCGGCAGTGGAACAACATGCAGTACGTGACCAACGCGGCGTTCCTGCTGTCCACCTACGCCGACTACCTGGCCGAGGCCGGCGTGGAGACGGTGACCTGCGCGGGCGGCGAGACGGCGGGCGCCGGCGAGGTGGCGGCGTTGGCCAGGGCGCAGGTGGACTACGTGCTGGGCACCAACCCCAGGGGCGTGAGCTACCTCGTGGGCTACGGCGCCAAGTACCCCGCCAGGGTGCACCACCGCGCCGCCTCTATCGTGCCGTACAAGCACAGCAAGCAGTTCATCGGGTGCTCGCAGGGGTTCGACCACTGGTACGGCCGCCGCAGCTCCAATCCCAACGTGCTCGTCGGCGCCATCGTCGGCGGGCCCGACCGGAGTGACAGGTTCCGGGACAACCGGGAGAACTACATGCAGACGGAGGCGTGCACCTACAACACCGCGCCCATGGTGGGGATGTTCGCCAAGCTCAACCGGATGGCGAGGGAGGAGAGGGAGCAGAGAGCTGCCACGGCGGCCGAGATGTAAATGGATTAGATAGGTTATAGGTCTCGAGGGGGGCTGTACAATTTTCCCCATTCTTTTGTTCATTTCTTCTCCTTCTTTGGAGGTTTCTTGATACACAGGAAGGATGGAGATGGGTGTAGTATATGAGGGGGAAAAAAAGACTGGAGGCATTGACGTGCAAATGTAAATTCGCTGCCTGTACGTACGAGAAAAGAAAAATGAGAATTCAAGTTACATATCGGTGGTTGTAGGTTGCTTAATTGTCTATGCTTGGATGATCACTCGTCAACAATTGTTTGCCAATTTCAATGGCAAAGGGTAGACCGATCAACAGCAAAGCACGAAAGAAGGCCCATAGCACCGCGATATAATTCCCTTTTTTTTTTCTGAAAATCTACATGTAGGTAGAGCACTCAAACATGGCCATTGCAAAATAAAGAGTTTCTATTAAGAAATGTTCTAAATTTTGTTTTATTGTTCACCCGAATGCATGTGAGCTCAAGAGCAGAATTGAATTTCCAACGATACATCCCCTTCACAAATTGACCAGTTTTTTTCATAGTTCCCTAAAAAATCATTCGAGATTCTAGTCAGGGTCTGCTATCTTTAATCACTAAAATTTGAATCAGGGAACACATTAACTGATGCCCATAGGACAGCAAGAGAAAACCTAGGAAATTGAAATCCAACGATGAAGCAATTACACAAGGTGGCCAGAAGAACACAAACGATATGAACAAGAATGCTCAAGATTTCTCGTGGCTAATCGAAGAATCACGATCCAGATCCCTTGCATACAACACCAACAAATCACCTCTAATTAAAAACATGGGTCTCATGAGGTCAAAAAGAATGGAAGAAATATAATACACCAATGGGTGAAAATGATACATTGCCAGTTTGATGGAAGACTTACAAGTTACAACAACAGAGTTCAGAACCAAGATCAACTGATCTGTGGCAACAAAATCTCACGGGCCCAGAGAGCATCAGACTGATCAATATAGCAAAATGATCGCGAAACAACCACCGTAGATAACCTACATATTTCTATAAACAACTGAGGTCCTCTGGATACACACCATTCATGTGATCTCTCGCCAGCTCTCTATTCTTCATTCCAATTTGTTTCCCAATCACTATCAGGAGGGAGTGAGAGCATTCCATGAAAAATATGATTCTCACATATGCCAATCAACATGCTTAGTATTTCGGTGGTGCAGGTGGCAACCGGTTGGGTGTGCGTCGGCTGCCTGAATTGGCACCGTTGGCATCCCCATTTTCATACCGCCGACCACGACTGTCAGCACTTCTCGATCTTGACTCGTTCTGTGAACTGGATCGGGCGGCAGAGCCATTTGCTGCAGCACTGAAGGCAGACCTCCAGTCCTCACCCGACTGGCTAGGGCTCTGTGGGCCACTCTCTGCAAGTGATGTTTCACTCGTCAGGGTTAAGGTTTGATTTGTGCACCAGGAAAGCAGAATAAAATGGAAAAGATTACACCACCCACCATTAGATCGCAGGGGTATTACTAATATCTGTAGCCATATTTCAGAATAAAAGGTGCATGTAAATTCAATGACATATTCTCTCCTTTGCCTTCATTTATTTTCACCCTCTCCTACATATTCTATCTCCTTTATTTTATCTCTAGTGCCCAAGATAATTAATAGCATGGGTAGTATGGTTATATCCCTTTAGATGCATATTTTATCTTGCTCGGTCGTTGATAGCTACTAATACAAAATAAAATACAATCAAGTACCGAGTATTTTTAAACCAAGGAAAGAATGTTTAGCAACTCAAACTAGGGTGCTCACAAGTGGTGACCACAAGCTCCTGAACCTAACGCAAGCAAGTACTTCACCTAGTGTGAAACGCTATACTGTAGTGTTCCAGGTTTGTTTGCAAATAGAACAGGTCTGAAATTTTTTGCAGACGCTACGCGAAACAAGTGAAAGGTGCACACACACACACACACCAAAGAAACTCATTTCTGCCAAGTTGGTACCAAAAATTCAAACATCATTGATCATTGTAAGTAGCCTTCAAGAAGTGCTTGTCCAGGTGGCAGTGATATGAACAACCATCAGCTAATCAGAAAATTGGCATACAGTATAAAGAAATTAAGAACATAATTGATTTTTGCTTGGAACAAGTAACCAATGCGGAGGAATTACTTTGAGGGAAATTTTAATGCTTAACTTCTACAAAATTGTTAGTAAGTTCTAGATATCATTTGCATCAACCGATATTGAGGTTTCGGCTGGCTGCTGATACTGAGTATGAAACAGATAATTGAAATAGCACGCTTACCCGGACCAGAAGTATCATCAGAATATGATGCAACTGCAGCTCTGTTATCATGGACACTGAGCTGACGAGTAAGTTTTGACAGAAGAGTCGACTGTTTTTGGGCCTTTTCCCGTCTGCGTTTAGCATTGTGGTCCTCTTGGAGAAGTTCTTCAATCCTTGCATTGCTTTGTGAACTGAAACCGAAAATTGAGACAAAGTTAACAACACTGCAACGCATTATACAAAGATACTTAAATAGAGTGACCATGGAACAGGCACACACTTTTTCAACATTTCTAAAAAGTTAAGAAATGAATAGCAAAAACCAGATGAGCTATACTTGGGTTGGTGAATATTAGGTGTAGGCGTGCGACTGTGTAAAGTGATCGGAGCCAGAACTGTGTGAATCAATTGGATCGGGGCATATCACTTTGTAAATAGGATGCAACATTTTAGTCGTGAAGCATTTCCCAGTATAAAATACACCTCATAAAAGTAACATAATTAGAAGGAAAATAAATATTATTAAGCTATTCAAAATGAACCTGCACATTAGTAGCAAGGACCCATAAGGCCATAACTACGAGTTAAACTAGGGTTTAGGTACAAGTACACAAAAACATTGTGGTTCTTCCAACTGGGTGGTCCATTTTTCAGTCAATTGGGTCAAAGAAAGAGGATACTGATGAAGGGACAAGTGGACACGGGACCAGGGTATCAAATTTGTTTCAGAACAAAGAGAGAATCCAACCTTATTGAGCTGTACAGCTGGTTTAGCATATCTTCCTTTGCTTTCTCCACTTGGCAAAGCACAATAGCCTGATCAATTGATCATGCATAAGATAATGAATGCCACATTTGACAATGTTAAAATAAATGACAGGGACAAATATACCTTTGGAACATTTGCTGCCAGGCTGTTCAACACAGCCTCGACATAACCGCGAACTTCTTGAGACATCCATCGGAGTTCTTCTTCAGGATCAGCAGGCCTCCGGGCCATCGTATCCTTGAGAGAAAAGGTGTAATCACGTGTCATTGAATTGTAGAACAAAGCAACAGCAAGAGGTGAGCTTTTGTTTGATAAGATCACACATTGAAACGAGAAACATGCTAACTCAAAATAAGCATGAGCACAAGACAGAGTTCACAGAAAATAAGCTAAGGCAACTAACTCTTGAAAGTAAGTTATAAAGCTTAACAGTGGATACTGGAAAAGGACACAACTCAAACATAGTATGGAGCTTACAAGAGATCCATCTGAATGGCTTTGTCTCATGGAACCGCCCTCGGGAGTATTTGAACTCTTGACAGACCCACCTTTGCTCTGAATAATACCTTTTATCTTCTTCACCCATTCAATCTTGTCAGCCATACTCTCAGCCTTCAATACAACGGCACTATGAGCTGCAACATGAAATAAACATTAATGCGGTAGAGTCAGAGTAAACCTTGACATAGTAGGTTTAGAGGCAGCAACCTTTCAGCACAGTTTTGTAGGCAACCCTGTTAGTAATCTTAAATACGAGACTTGGGCCTTTCTCTGGCCCATTCGCCTTCTTTGAATCCTTAGAAGTTTTAGAAAGCTCTTCCTCCTCTATCTCTTCCAGGTTACATTCCTGAATCACACGACATAATGTTACTACAAAGTTTATATGAGAGCTTCCATAGTTGTAGACATGATATTTGTAAGTTCAAATATCTTTTTAATAAAAGTTTAAAAAACTGGAACTATCCACGATGACTCGGAAAACATTTACTGTGTCTATTACAACCAAGAATGGTAAAGTAATGCATCACAGATTACTCAATGTCAAGTAGAACAAAATGAACATGGTAAAATATATAATCAAGCACACCTCTAAGACAATGACGCCTCGAAAATGTCTCTCCTCTTGTTTCTTGGTGTAGCCAAGCTGGACAGGGAAAGTTCAAAGTAAATGACACCAACCACCTCAAATATTAAAAAATCAGCAGAAAATGTCAAGTATAGTATCAAAAGATTGCATTCAGAACAGTTGAGACTAGTGGGCATCAGGACAGATTTATTTACCTTTCCACTCTTCTCATTTAGGACAAACCACCTTTTGCTCCATTCATTGTTTTTTGCACTCTTTTTCAATAGGTAACCTAAAGAGAAAAGAAAACATATGCTTGTGTATCAATAAATCAAGCCCAAATTACTGGGAAAGAAATCATCAAAACCATGTAATTTGTTACATCCTTATGCATGCATTGTATACAAGACAATGGAAAATTATGTCAGAGTAAGCATGGAATTAACAAGCAGCCAAAAAGGTTGATTCTTATCAGAAGGCTTATTTCATTTTACTAGATAAAAAATGGCATGGGAGCTACGTCAGATAAATATCTGTGACTTCCAGTTTTAATCATAGTCACATATAAGCAAATTGTTATGAGAAAAGCTGAAGTTGAGCCAAACTACGGTGCAGTATTATACCTGCAGTTATTTCACCACCAGGACCAGCAACCTGCAGATTAGGTCCCTCTTTGGTATCTTTATCTTGCTGATTGGATTTGTCTTTTGACGACTTAGCTTGCTCAGAACCCTAATATGAAATACAACCAATGTAAAGTTATAAACAGCCAGACCAACACAAATATAGGGTGATCAATCTGCATACAGTTTTGTAGGTATGCAGATTCATGCAAGCAAAGACACAGAAGTATACCTTGTTCATCATGGCTTGCTCAGCATCTTGTG